ATTTCTGTTCCACTAGATGGCGCTCTGCCATGTAAAAAGTTCATGTGAATGTGGTCAGGATATGCTTCTTTTGATTTTAATCTATGTGTATATATTACAAAAAATATTTCCTGTTGATTTTAGAATATTATTGTGATGGAGAATTATTGAGCTTTCCTTTTGATGATCATTTTTTTGGATACATGAGTATTATGGTATTGCTATGCAGTATTTTTTATGATATATTGCAGTCATGGTAACAATAATAAAAATAAACACAAGGTAATAAGACCAAATCCAAATAAATAAATAGTGTGTGATGTTTCGGTATCAGCGTTGTTACCATCTTCAGACAAAAGTACTGAATTCAGTACACTACTTTCAGTACACACTATTTATTTATTTGGTGTTATTACCTTGTGTTTCTTATCTATAATCCAAATTGTGCCTTAACATTTGGAAGATTATATTGGAATGGGATGACCCCCCTAATTCCACAGAGGAACTAAGAAGTAAACTGACTTTGATAAATCTTCCATCCCTAGAGCATATTCAGATTCCAAGATGCGTGGTTCCAGGTAATTTTGCGAAGGCAGAATTTCACGGGTTTTGTGATGAGTCGCAGAATGCATATGCCCCATCTCTTTACCTAAAGGTGATGCTCTCAAACTCAAGACATTTCTCTTACTGGCATAAACAAGAGTCGCACCTACTAGGGTGGTATTACTTCCAAAGTTGGAATTATATTCTGCTCTATTTTGACAAGATTAGTGAGAACTGTACATGATAAGCTTTCTTTTCACCATTGATAAAATGTATTTATGGTCCTATTAGAAGAGAAAATTTTACTATAAAGTATAAAATAAGAACATAAACTGTAGCAATGTGTTTCTTTATCCGTTCAAAGTGCAAGCTTTCGAATCTTTACAGGCATAGCCATATGTTGAGAAAATGAGGATATATATTATCTCAATCTATAGCCATGCCTGTAGAAGGATCATAAAGATCCAAAAGCTTGTACTTTACATGAAGAAATAAATGCATTTCTACTGTTTCTATTCTTATTTTATGGTCTTATTCTACTATAGCCTTATCCTGGATTAAGGACATGACATTTGTGGTAAATTGAGTTGCCTAGAGGCTTGTCTGAGATCAATGTTGATGGAGGGGGTCAGTGGAAGGCTGGTATAAACCGTTGGTTTTCGACCACTACCTCCCGGGTTCGATTCCCGCATTGGACACTTTCTTTCTGATAAAAAAAAAAAAAAATGCTCCAATGTCCTCCTATTCTTGCAAAAGTCCAACCCCACCAGTGAGTGCAAGTAACCAAACGGGGCTCTGGCATATTTATTTGTAAGTGCAAAGTCGAACTGCTTTTCACATGTGTAGACATGTGGTGCACTTACAGTAAAAGCAGTTGCCTACTTCTACCCACCATGATTATCATGGCCTGTAGTACCACGGGTACTAGGGATAAGCAAAAAAAAAAACTATATATAAATTTTTAAATGGTCCCATTAAAATAAATATTTATTACATCTACAATAGAACTTCCTTTTTAGCAGCAAATTCCTTTAACATCTAATTTTAAAGTCCAAATGATTAGGTAACACAATTTTAGAATTATAGATTAAAAACACACATGGTAAAATAAGGCCAAATCCAAATAAACAAATAAAATGTGTGTGAGGTTTCTGTAACAATGTTGTTACTATCATCAGATCTTCTTCTTTCTTATCTCCACTCAATCATATTAGGGTATCAAGTCGTGACCCTTGATGGTGTCTGTTTGACAACTATCATGACTGGGTGAAGTAGAATGCCTTTGTCATTAAGACTGGGAGAATTACTCAGTGGCAGGCCGACTTAGCTTCATAAGAAATGGCCGCCTCTGACATGAGGAACAGACGCCATGTGCAGCTGCTCCTAGTATCCCTGGATTAGGAGCCCTTACAGGGTACTATCAGCTGGGCCAGCTGAGCCCAGGTTTTTTAGCGAGCTTGTTATTGCTCCCCCTCCTCTTTTTTCATCCGGGCTTGGGACCGGCAAAGGCGGAGTTATATCATCAGATAAAAGTACAGAATGAAAACATGTTGATATTTTTTCTTATTCATTACTTTTGTCTGATAATGCTAACGATGTGTTATGGAAACGTCACACACTACTTATTTATTTGTATTTGGTCTTATTACCTCGTGTTTATAAAGTCTCAAGTTTTAAGTGTCAATTATTCTAACCTTAGTTATAACAACAAAAGGATAAAGCAACATAAATATCAGTCCTAGGTAATTATAACCTAATATCTCCTAGGTAACTATATTTTTAAAAGGTTATTTCTGCCACGGAGATGATAGTTTGACCATGGACCAAAGCCAACTTGGCAACTCGCTCTTGTTAACTAACTGATACCCATCCCATAACCCCCAAGTGGAGATATCGTCTTGGAATCGCAAACTTGAAAGCATGCGTAACAGAAGCCCGCGTTGATTCTGCATTGAAACAAATGTAAACAACCAAAAACTTTATTTAATTTTATATCTTATTTTATTGGTGTATTAATGATGTAAAATGTTTTCTCCCGTAGAAAGGCTTACTTGCCCGAAAGCTTGAGAGATTTTTAAATAAAAAATATTTTTAAAAGAAACTTTTCCCTGGAGGCTTAATGTTCTTGTTTTAATATTGATTCAAGGGATTATTTTATTGAACACACTTCATTCATTTGGAATTGGCCTTGTGATAATGTAATAATGATAAGCCACAATTTGGATTATAAACACAAGGTAATAAGACCTAATCTAACTAAATGAAATATGCGACAATGCTGTTACCGAAATGTCACACACTTCATTTATTTGGATTTGGCCTTATTAACTTGTGATAATTATAAGCCACAATTTGGATCCAAATAAATAAATAGTGTGTTAGGTTTCGGTAACAATGCTGTTACTGAAATGTCACACACTATTTATTTATTTGGATTTGGTCTTATTACCCTGTGTTTACCCTGTGATAATGTAATAAATTAATTGTGTGGTAAACATTCTGAGAAATCCCCCATGATGAGAGCATCCCTAATAACTAACACATCCCCAGTAACAAGACCAGGTCATCCTTTTACTCCAGGACCATACACCAAACTGGATTAAACAACCTTTCTTAATAAATCAACCAAGTTGCTTGACTTCCTGCCTCAACACTTATTTTCCTTTTTATTTAATTATGTGTTAATTTGTTTAGTTATTTTTAGTGTTAAAAACTTCTGTAATACAGTACAATCTCTCTGTAAAAGACACCGACACTCATGGACAAAACTTAGGGAAGTTGTGTCTTTTAGCATTTATATTGGGATTCAGATAATATTCAGATAATAACTCTGAAAGATATTACAGTGATCTTTATTGAAGACGTATGAGATAACCAAGTGTGTATACACTCATGGATATTTTTTTTTAATCTGTGAATCACAAAATATTTTCAGAGAGTAAGTGAATCCATCAAATTGAAATTTGAATAAGAATTTGATTGTTCTATATTAAAGAGATGGAGGCCCCAGCCTAGATAGTAACGAGCCATTGGTTAACAATTTTCAGATGTTGGTCCCAAATGCTAAAAAAAGTACCAAAACCTGTGAAATCTTCATATTGTTCAAAGAAGGATACAAGAAACAAAAGAAATTTTGAATACTATTTATTTGGATTTGGTCTTCTACCTTATGTTTTGATCTATAATTAAAATTGTACCTAGTCAAAGCTGCAAGAATAATAATTCAAATTTAGGAAATTTTTCACAAAGATATCAAAAAGGATAATGCACAATTTTGATTATAGATTATAAACACAAGGTAATAAGACCAAATCCAAATAAATAGTGTGTGACGTTTCAGTAACAGCATTGTTACCGAAACGTCACACATTATTTATTTATTTGGATTTGGTCTTATTACCTTGTGTAGATATCAAAAAGGAAAAGTGAAGAATGTTAAAAAAAATATCTATCCTACTCTGCTTAGTTACAAAGAGCTTTTATAGTTACATATATACAATAGAACCTCTCTGTAAAGGACAACACCTAATTGCAGAGCCAAAGTGGCCTTTATGGAGAGGTGTCCTCTTACCAGAGAGTTGCTAAATAGTAAAAATGGTCATTTTGCAAATGAAAACTGACCTTTATAGAGAAGTGTCCTCTCATGGATGTTCTACTGTATATATCTATGTAATTACTGCTCAACTATCTACACATGTAGAAAAAACTAGGAAAGATGGGTGACAGGTCTATTTTAATCCCAAGAGAGAGATATTTATAACCCAAGTCCCTGGAGCGCCAACAACCCGGGGAGTCCAGGGACTAGTGTTGAACGCTTTTACTCGCGTCCTGTTTTGATTGCTGAATTGAACCAGTTGACCAGAAGTTTCCATGCTGAGGTTGAGTCTGAGAGGCTGGACATAGATGTAGGATTGAGATGGGTCAGTCCAGGCAGGATAGCTGTTTGTATCCTATGTCTCAGGACTTGATGGTAACAACGCTGTTACCGAAATGTCACACACTATTAATCTATTTGAATTTGGTCTTATTACCTTGAAGTTATAATATACTAGCCGAATGACCCAGGCAACGCCCGGGTTTTACCCGATTAAATGTTTTTATTCAAATACTATTCGTTGCAATTATAAATTGGAGCCGTGGATGTCACTCTTGTGTAACGTCCCGCTCCAAACTTTACATGTACATTAGGTCAGCTGGTATTACCCCCCCCCCCCCCCCCCCCCCCCCCATTTTCACCGCTAGAGGTGCGAGCAAAAGAGCAAATTTGCAAATAACATGACGGATATTCGGGATAAAGACCTGAAATTTTCACTAAGAGTTTTTCCAGATTCTACTTTATATACTGTTAAAATTTCAGTCAGATTAGTTACGTATTGTGGACGTGTATAGTTGACAAACATACATACATACATACGCTGACTTTTATTTATATAGGGATAATAATATAAATGAGTTTTAAAAATTGTAAAAAAAAAAAATGCATCGGCCAGGCGAACCCGGGCCGCCCGCGTGGCAGGTGAGCATTCTACCACTGAACCACTGTTGCTTATAAGAAATGGCCATATTTGGGTATTTATTCCATTCACAAAAGCAAACGGTGACAGAATTGATTGTTGATGACTCTGATACTTGTATATTTTAATAATCCAAATTGTGTCTTATCAATTTCCAACTTATTTATATAAGAGATGCAAGGAGAGAAATATGCTCAAATACAGAATATCATAAATGTTATCACCATAAATTATCTGAAACTTTTTTAGAGTTTTTAGTTTTTGTTGGTTACACACACACTAGGACTAGTCCTATCTGTGTACAGTAGAACCTCTATGATAGGACAACTTCTACAAAGGACAGTTTTCATCTTCAAAATTACCTTTTTTTACTAATTACCTGTTCTCCAGTAAGAGGACACCCTCCCTAAAAGACACTTTGGGTCTGTAACTAGGTGTTGTCTTTTAGAGAGTACCATCAACACCCAATACCTGCAGGAATGGAAATCTAACGCTGCACATGACTGGTACAGAGCAGGAGGGACAAGCATCAATTCTATCCTTCCAAGAGGACAACAGTCTTTGATTTCCAGACTTAAGTCTGGTCATCTACGGACAATGACCTTCCAGAATGGTTGCAAGGTTTTCCCACTATGTACTAAGTCTCAACCTGCAACCCCCAAAACACATCATTGACTGTTTTACTCATCCATTGATGAGTTCTACTCATCTCCAGCAGACCTCATCAAAATTTTAAAGCTTTTGAGCGGAGATAATAAAGAAGAGAGAGGTTGTTCTACTGTGTGTATTGGGATTAATTAAGCATTAAAAGAAAGCAATGAACTCTGTTTTGACAACAAAATATATATAACAAATATAATATAAAAAATGAGATTTACAGCATATTTTGGAATATTTTGAAATATACAGAATTATTAGCTGTTGCTTGATTTTGGTATGCAGTCGTGGAAAAGATTATAATAAAATCAAGATTGAATCACAGTTTGCTTTAATTGTGCTAATAAAGAATACATAAAAACATAATTTGATAAAAGTACTGCCTGGATTAAGGCGAAGAATAAAAAAAATGAAAAACTTATTTACATAATGTACAAAAGGTTTGAGCCGGCCATCGGGAAACAACAACAATGAGTTTTTATAGGGGAAGTGTGACCTCTGGCGGTTGATTTAACAGAATATTTTAATCAAGGAAATATAATTTTAAATAAAATAATATTTTAATATAACATATATATGTTAGAAAAAGAGATTTTCAAATTTTATTTTCAAAACATTTTCAAGAACAAACTCTGTGAAGTCGACCATATACAATATATAAATTCATTGTTGTTGTTTTCCTTTAGCCAGCACAGAATTCTTTGTTAGTATGTAAATATCCAAGGCCATTTTCAAAGTGAAACAACACAGGCAAAATTTCAGAACATGTTAAAATAAGAAAACATAACTTTTTTATTATAAGAGATAATAATAAGGCGCTATTAAAAATTGTTTACAAAGAGGAATCAACCTCAACTTTTGCCGCAATTGTACATGTTGGGCTAAAAAAAAAAGTCCAAATAAATAGGCTTGTGATGCAACAAAAATTATTTCTATTTCATGAACTATGGCGATTTTAAAGCCAGCAATGGTTTGCATGACAGGTTCAAAACAAATGGAATTCTAGACTTAAAAAGAATATGTGAAAACATGAAATAGAAGAAAAACACATTAACTTTATTTGAAAGGTGCAATGCTTGAAGAGTGCTTTGAAGCAACAAGGTGTTAGAGCCATTTTTCCAAGTAAACATTGTATTATATAATGTGATAAAGATGTTTTGAAATCATTCGAATATATATTTAATAAAACTTCACCTAGGATTGTCTTGATTTTTAAATTAGACATAGAGGTACATGTATGTTAATGATAATAAGAACCTATCATCTAATAATTTCTTTTATTATTTAGTATTAATGTAAGGAAATAGGTCAATTAAGGGAATTAAAACAGAGTAACCACTATTAAGAGGCAGCCTCTTCCAGTGTGTATGGCTGTCCTTTAATTATACGGTCTAAAAATTTGGGAACGTTAAAAAAAAAAAAAGCCGAACCATAGCTATAGTGAACCAAAATCTCTGTCCCATTGGGGTTCACTATTGGGGGTTTTACTGTAAATACATATTTTTTTTAAATGGAATTTCCTGAATGCTGCATTTTAGAGAACCATCTAATGGAACAAAAATCAACTAAAGGATGACCTAGCTTGTTCCAAAGATATTTAGCCAACCCAATTTCTTGATCAATCAACCACATACGCGTTTCAGGCTGTTGGCTCTCGTCAGCTTGGTGCAGACTCTACCTCTATGACCAAAAATATGATCCCAGAGGCTTCCTGAGATATCAAGAAATAAGTATTTAAGGCCAGGTTGGCATAAAAATGCTTTTCATGTTAAAAAAATATATATATATTAGTGTTAACACTATGCGGCGCTGAGTTTGTGCATACAAAAATGTAATGCCTCGATAAAGGTTGACGTTCAACCAGCCGAAATATTAGTGAATTAAATATGGATTGCTCCATTTTCAAAAATATATATATAAAAATAGTCAAGTATTGATACTAAAAACAAAATGGCATTACCTGACTTATACAGTAAAACCTCCATGAGGGGACCACCTCTACAAAGGACAGTTTTCATTTGCAAAATTACCATTTTAACTATTTAGCAACTCTCCAGTAAGAGGACACCTCTCCCTAAAGGACACTTTGGCTCTTCAATTTGGTGTTGTCTTTTACAGGGAGGTTCTACTGTAAATACAGGCAGTAAGTGAGAGATGTGGGTGTCCAGACTCTGAGAAGTACTCCTGGCAGGAGAACTATGCCGGCAGTTCTGGACTGAGGAGTCCCATTCCCACCAGACTCTCCAACCATAATGATGCCCTGGTAGGTCCTTACAGTACTAACTTACTCAATGGAACACTTTCTTCTTCCTTATCTCCACTCAATCATATTAGGGTGTCAAGTTGTGACCCTTTATGGTGTCTGTTTGACAACCATCATGACTGGGTGAAGTAGAATGCATCTGCCTTTGTCATTAAGACTGAGAGCACTACTCAAGCCAACATAGCTCCAAAAGAAATGGCCGCCTCTGACATGAGGAACAGACGCCATGTGCAGCTGCTCCTAACATGGAGTACAAACACTGCTCATCCTGTATCCTTGGATTAGGAGGCCTTACAGGGTACTATCAGCCGGGCCAGCTGAGCCCAGATTTTTTTAGTGAGCTTGTTACTGCTCCCCTCCCTCCTTTTTCATCCGGGCTTGGGACCGGCAAAGGTGGAGTTTCAATATCAACAATTCAATACTAAACATCAGGCTTCCAGGGATAACTCTCTTTTAAAAAATGTCATTAATATCTCTAGCTTTCAGGTATGAAAGCCCTTTTACAATAGAAAACACACAATAAAATAAATTGTAAATATAAGTTATAATATACAGTAGAACCTCCATGAGAGGACACTCTGGCTAGAGGACACCTCTCTACAAAGGACAGTTTTCATTTACAAAATTACCATTTTTACTATTTAGAAACTCTCTGTTAAGAGGACACCTCTTCATAAAGGACACTTTTACTCTGCAACTAGGTGTCCTTTACAGAGAGGATTTTACTGTAATCATATGCAATTTTATATAATTTTGTACAAATGTGGAAGATTTGAAGTGATATGTTTTCTTATTGAATTATGAATGGCTAACTTTCAGGCTTCAACAGGTTTCTTCATCATCATTATACTATGGCAACTGTTGAAAGCATGCATTTGACCTCTAAGCTGGCCAGGCAGAATTCAATAAAGAAAATTATCGCTTTAAAAACCTAGTTGTGGGTCATTGATATTTTGATATTCAACCACTTGATGACAATAACTGCAATTTATACTCATGGACAAAACTTAAGGAAGTTGTACCTTTTAGCATGTATATCGGGGTTCAGACAATAACTCTTGGACCTAACTCTTTTTTTTTTTTTGAAATAAGAAAGAAGAAGAAGACTCTTAAAGATATTACAGTGACCTTTATTGAAGACACATGAAATAACCAAGTGTGAACAGATTGCCTCTGTCTCCTTTAAAAAAAAAAAAGACAACCGGAGACATCAAAGACTTTCCACTTCCTTAAGTTTTGTACATGTGCGTATTTTGATAAACTTGAAATCTGTGTTAACTCACCTCAAGGCTCAGGAAAATGTCGAGGGGGCATGCCTTTGTTGACGAAAGAATGAAGTTGGCGTTGTCGACTTCTAATAGATATGTTGTTTAAGACAATTTTC